TCTGGTGAAAATTTCATGTCATTAGCACCTCTAGTAATATATTTACTGAGAAAAATGGTGACGTGTTCAATACTTATTTTACCCGCTGAATGCATAACATTTATGGGTAATAAATACCATTAAACACTGTAATGTTATTATTAATTACATTTTTCTATTATAAACAGTGATAATAATTTATTATTAATAATAAAACTTTTATTAAATTAAATCTTAATAACATGCTGCAACCACCCCCAATTTTGTAACATTTGACCTTTTTACATAATTTGCTATAATAATTTAGTTTGTCTAAACCTTCCCTGAGTAACAGAGTCAAATGCAAAAGTGTTTCCTCTAGTTCAAAGCTGAAACCAGGGGGGGCAAAAACTGGTTAGAACAGCTACAAATCTATAACTAGCTGAACAATAGCTAAAAGCTAAGCTTGTAGCTCAGCTGAAGTGCGTCGCTGGCCCTTTAAGAGATGTTTTGCCTCAGCACGTGCTCGCCTTATATGGAGCAGCAACAAACAGTGACCGTTAGTTACCTCTGCAGTTCCTCTGCTTGGCATCAAGCTGCGCTATAAAAGCCTGGCGGAGAAGAAAAAACAGTTTTGTAAAGACACTGATACAGAGAACACGGAGGAGCATCGCAACCTCGGAGGAAACTCATTTATTTCCACTTTTTTTGTTTCACCATCTGGGAAAAAAAGACTGCAGTTTATGAGGCAGAGAAGTGAATATTCACACAAGATTAAGGTTGGTCACTTAAAGTCTTTATGAGTTTTTTTTTTTTTTTTTTTTTTTTTTTTTTGAGGGGGGAAGGATTTGCGAGTTTCTTTGTTAGACAAAGATGTACCAGAGAGCCATTTGTAACACTTTATGTTACAGTTTACTAATTCTTTATTAGTTTAATTACATAAAGTTACTAAAAAAAAACGCAACATTTTTTGTCGCCTGGAAATGAATTTAATGCGCTCTGTTTATAATTTAATTATCATCAAATGTAATGAATTTTGACACTGCGGACTTACAAAAACAACACATGTTTATGGTCGAATAACGCTTTTAAAAGAATGACATTCGGCCTTTCGTTTCTTTTAGCGTATTTATCTGTCCATCTGGACATGTCTGGAGTCTGCAAGGACTAACATCAAGCTTGTTAGAGTGAAATATAAAGCTTCCGGTGATGCACTTCAAAATAAAAGTCGGCTCGTTGCAACGCAAGGTTTTACTTCATTTAACGCTGAGCGAAAAGCTATTTTAGAGTAACTTTAAAGTATATGTTGTGTGAAATTGATTTAATATACATCTATGTGAATACCACGACCAATTGTGACTGTTAATGGAGAAGTGCAGTTATTTGCGCTTTTATTTTGAAGGGTGTATATTTTTGTAGCTTTAATTTGTCTGACTTGATGCTGTAGGTGCTCGCGTCTACCTCGAATGAACGACAGTAACCCCAGTCCCACTGAACAATGAAAGAAGAGGAAAGTCAGTTTGTCATGGGATGGTTTTTTGATAGATTTAAATGAAATGTGGTCGTGCTGCTAAAGGTTGTTTTGAAAAGCAACCAACTCTCGCTTTGTTTTTATTTCTTTAACTATCAAGTAGTATTTTTTTTATTTGATGAAAGACGTCTGGAACTATAGCGTTTTTTTTAATCTTTTTATTGTAATGTCTTTATGAACATACAGCATAGCCGACTTGTCTGCTGTGATGATGATGCTGCGGCGTCGATAACTCGATTTTTGTTCCGTTTTTAGAGTTGCACAAAACATTCACAGGATGTGTCTCATTTTCTCTTTTAATGCAAGGAAATGTATTAGCACGGTGTCACTTTGATTGAACCCTTAGGTGTTGCATGAAAACAATGAAGTTGGGGGTGGGGGGGTCTGCCTCGTGACACGTGAGCAAGAAATGATGGTAAACAAGTATTAATGTGATTTCTCTGCGTGGTCACCGCTAGAGGCGCTCGCGCTCTGCACCAATCCGAACTGCTGCTCACTGAGCTGAAATAACAGGAAAAATAATTTTAAAAAAGCTATTTTCTATGCAAGCTGCGTATATAATGTCTATCACATCCTCTATTAATAAAACCATTAAAAACAAACCATCAAACTGGTTGTAACATAACATGGTTAGAATTAGTGGAAGATGCAGACTGTACAATAAATATGAGCCAACTCATAAATCACGTGCTTTTTTCCCTATGTAACAATGATTAAATATATTGCATTGTCCAAATATTAGATTTAGTGCTTTAAATATAGCTAAAAGGTGCATGTTTGTTTTATAATGTTTGAATAAAGTGACAGTGCTTTTCTTTTACATTAGTGCAGAGGAGCCCAAAGTGGGGCCCGTGGGCCAAATTTGGCCCGCCAAGCCATTTGATTTGGCCCACCAACAGTTGCCAAAGTTACAAGGTTGTAAGCTGTTATCCTATGTAGAAACACAGTGTTTCCATTGGTCAAATGACTATATAAAAGGGCTGTAGTGAAGGTAGTTTTCATTCATGGTGCTGACTTTATCTTTGATTTATTAGGATTAAACATGAAACATGAAACAACAACAAGAAATATTTAGATCAGATTTAACCCCACATGTAGATTTGCACACTTTATAATACCACAAAAACTCATATTTTATCAATTTATAAAACGTCCCATGAGCCTTTGCTACTTGAGCGTATGGCAGACTTTCTCCAAGTGCACAGAATAAAACAAAAGAGGGCCATTGCACAGCTTAATCGTTAAAAATAAAGGACTTTACTTTAAAAAGTATTTGTATTTCATGTATTATATTACTGCATTTGGCCCCGATAGATTTTCATTTTAGCCCACTCAAGGAAAATGTTTGGGCACCCCGCATTAGTGTTTTTTTTTTAAGTGGAATACCTTTAATGATTCAGAAGAGGTGGATCTGAACAGGCGATATGTTAGGTCACTCAATGTGCTGTCCCTTGATTCCAAAGTTCCTGTTAGTTTTTTTTTTTTTTTTCTTATTTCGAAATCTTCAACAGTCCAAAATTTATACAGAGTTGTGGTTTATATTTACACAAAATTAGTTTTAGTAAATCAATGCCTGTATTTTATTTATATTCATAACAGAAGGAGGGGGTGATATGGATGTAGTCATCTGGCTCTGATTCTTCTCTCTCTCTTTTTGTTCACAAATTTAATTTAATTTATATCATGGTTAAGCGTAAGTGGGTTTTTATTTTTATGTAAAAAAATCAGTTCTGAGACAATTTAAGAAATGTCACAATTTAGAAAAGGATTTTGCAACAGGTTAAATAATCAGCAGAGCGCTTCATGTTTGAACATCACTCTGTCCTTGGCTGATCTGGTTCGACTTTCCCCGACAGCCAATCAGCTTCATTCTGTATAAAGGCCATTCAGCTTGTGATTCTTTCATTGGAGAAAATTAAGTTTTACCTCAAAATGAAAGATTGTTTTACTCTGAGAACAACTACATCCCCTTTTTTAAATGGTCACCAAGACCTGATGCTAAATCTTTACCAAAGACTTGTGTCCTCAAACTGAATAAACACAAAGGTAGAAACTTTATGCAATCATTATTGAACTTTGTGGATGAAACTATTCGATTGAGGATAAACAGTGAAAGTATCCTTTAATCCTTTTTTCCAACATTTACATAAAATGCGTTATTGTGTTTAAGTGGCTTAACTCTGGCGTGATGCAGCTATACCTTTTATGACCTGACTGCCACCCCCCACCCCCCACCCACTCATTCTCCCACATGAAGTGCTTAAACTTTGGACTGATGAGTTTACATTAAGCAAACCAGAATTTGCTGGATTTGCCAGCTTTTCTCAGTCGACGGTTGACTTGAAGCCCTGCTCTTTCTTTTATTTTACCAGGTGAATGCTTTAGCATCGTTTTCATCCAGTGAAGTATCTGAGTTTTCTCAAAGCATCTTATTCTTTTTAATCTATTATCATTTATTAAGTTTTTTTTAATAATAATCATTGCGTGACTATTTAGTTTTTATGCCTGTCTGTGACACAACCAGCTGGATGAAACTGCCTGTTTCAGCTTTTGTGAGTTTGGTTATGGTTTGTTGACGTCATAAATTTTTGTTCTGCTTTCAAATCAGTTTTCTGCACCAACATCTGTGAGATTTTATTTTCGCAGGAAGGCGGCGAGTTAAATCTGCGTCTTTGTCACGATCCAGAGTGTGATTTGGCAACATTGTGGCTGTCAGTTAGTTTTGAGTCATGCAGAGTTGCAGTTTTTTGACCTTGTTTTTGTGGCGTTGCAGTGAGGAGCTGGAGTTTGCTCAGTGAGGTTGGGAAGACGACAACATGGCGGTCTCCACTCAGCTGGGGCTGCTGCTGTGGAAGAACTTCACCTACAGACGGAGACAGACTGTGAGTTGGAGGGGCGTTGACCCCTGCTTTAAAGGGGTTAAGAAGGGGCGCTGAAAAATGTTGTTCTGACAACTGTTTTCTGTTTAAAACGTTGATGTTTTTATGTTTAAATTATTTCCTAAATTCACTCAAATTTATTTTTTTATTGTCATGATGTCTTAAAGGGGACATATCATGCAAAATCCACTTTTTTAACTGTTAAATACATCGTAAATAATCGAAACCCCCTCTATCAAACTAGAATGATCCAGTCTGGAAGCTGGAGGGGAGGGTGTGCAGCGCCTTGTTTAGATTTACAGAGACAGCCTCAAAAGGAGTTGATCTAAGACACGCCACGGAAAAGGGGTGAAGGAGGGGCTTGTGGAGTTACAGTAAGGAGGAATTCAAACCAAAAATATTGCAGTTCCACTTTAAATATCCCAACTGAATGATTAAAATGTGGAAAATAAGGATTTAAAAGCATCAAATGTCTCCTTTAACTGTGTGATAACAGCAGTCAGGCTAGTTTAAATACAGCCTGAACAACAAAGGGGTGTCTGTCCTCTCAGACCTTACATTAATCTAAACCCACATCCAAAAGATTTCAACCTTAAAATAAATCATTCTTACAAGAGGACAATTACAAAAATGACTGTGATATAATTGTTTCTTTACACTTTTGTTAAAAAGTGTAACAGTTTATAGCTAGCTGTGAGTAAGCCAAAGATGTAAAGAGGTGTATGCTCACATGCTAATGCTACGCTGATTTGATTCAGTTTGAAACGTCAGCATGTTGCTTCTTTATGGTGAGGAGAGGTTCATCTGCATACAGTTAGACCGTTTGTCCATCAAACAGAAGCAGCTCCTCTTGGCGACAGCTGGAGTGGTGTGACTTTTCAGGCCAGTCTCTTTTCATCAAACACAGTCTGGCTTTTTTAGGACATCAGCTTTAGTCTTTATCCGCCACACTGCTGCTCTTTCAGGCAGGCAGCTGAAGCTCGGGGGCCATATGGTGCAGATGGAAAAACCTGTAGTCTATTAAAGCCAGTAGAGCTCAGGGGTAGACATAACCATTGTTTAGGTTGTCCGAGACAACCTATTTTTCATTTTGAAAAACCAGATCCTGTACCAAGAAAAAAAAGACCTTGATTAAAGTTCTCTGCCGCGGGTGTTTGGTTAGGTTAGGTTGTAACCTGTTATCCTATGTAGAAACACAGTGTTTCCGTTGGTCAAATGACTATATAAAAGGGCTGTAGTGAAGGTAGTTTTCATTCATGGTGCTGACTTTATGTTTGATTTATTAGGATTAAACATGAAACATGAAATGACAAGAAATATTTAGATCAGATTTAACCCCACATGTAGATTTGCACACTTTATAATACCTCAAAAACTCATATTTTATCAATTTATGAAATGTCCCATGAGCCTTTGCTACTTGAGCAAATGGCAGACTTTCTCCAAGTGCACAGACTAAAACAAAATAGGGCCATTTCATAGCTTAATCTTTAAAAATAAAGGACTTTACTTTAAAAAGTATTTGAATTTCATATATTATATTACTGCATTTGCCCCCGATAGATTTTCATTTTGGCCCACTCAAGGAAAATGTTTGGGCACCCCTGCTGTAAAGGTTTAAAAACATTTATTTTGACTTTAGGGGTAAATTATCGTATTGATTGTACACTTTTTTCTAGGAATGATTGAATAATTGTATTTTATTGTCCTTTATGTCTTAGATCCAGCTGCTGATTGAGATCATCTGGCCTTTGTTTATCTTTTTCATCCTGATTTCGGTCCGAACACATTATCCACCCCATGAACAACACCAGTGTAAGTCAATATATCTCACCAAATCTTGTAAATAATGAGTTTTGGTCATTTTAAAGGTTTATACATAAAACCTCTAATTTCCTATTATTTTAGGGCTGTTAGTTTTAGTGTTTAGTCTTTATTTCATATTTCCAAAATTTACTTTGAAATGAAGTTATCAGCCTCTGCTACTTTTCTATGACTTTTAGTCCTGTTTAGGAAAAACATCCCCCTCTCGTTTCAAGGAAAGCTTGACACATTAGTCATCTGAGGTCCTTGCTGCTGACACCAGAGGATTTTTTGGATTTGTCAATACTTGTTTGCACTTTGTGAATTCATGATAAGAGCTTCAGCTGTAAGGTTAAAGAATCTTTAAGAGTGCAGCTGGTTCCACCTTTTTTTTTTTTTGTTTGCCTTGTCAGCGACTGAAAGTACCAAAATTGCTATTTTTATTGGAATGAAAAGCATCAAACAGCAAAAAAATAAATAATAAATAAATAAAACTTTAATAATTTATCATTTTATTTTAGAGCATTTTCAATAAACAGTAGTAAATAAATAAAAATTTGTTTCGCATGGCTAATGAATAATTTACAAGCACATTTTCCAGTGGAAATGTTAAATAAAATTTTATTAAATAAACCTTGAGCAATTACTCAAGCCCAGCTTTTTGAAGTTATATTTTTAATTAGATTTTTACATTTTTATTATTCTACTGAAATTTAATTTAAAGCTCATCATACAAATTGCTTGCTTTTTTTTTAAAAAGAATGTATTTCTTTCATTCTAGGCCACTTTCCCAACAAGGCGATGCCATCCGCAGGTACCCTTCCCTGGGTGCAGGGCATTATCTGTAACGCCAACAACCCCTGCTTTCGTAATCCTACCCCAGGAGAGACTCCGGGCATTGTGGGAAACTTTAATGACTCCATGTGAGTAACATGATCCTGAAATGGATGAGTTAATGCAGAGATTTCTTCTCTTTGGCTTTGTATCACTAACTCACCAATGTATTTTTAATTTATTTAATCTTTATTTAACTGGGGGAAGAAAAAAATCACTAAGAATCAAAAATCTTTTCCTGAGTGCTCTAAGCACTCGTGATAATTGCTTATCAACATTGTAATTTAGACTTCAAAGGAGTGTGCAAACACAACATGGAGATTCTTCCCTTCTTTTCAAGCACGTCTAATTAAAGTTTTTTTCATCTTTTATCAGAATCTCGCGTTTGTTCAACGATGCCAAGAAGATCCTGCTGTACACTCAGAACGATAAGAGCTTTGAAGGCTACAAAGGACTGCTGAGGGCTCTCAGGAAGCTTCAGAAGGACACTCCTCGTAAGGACACGTCTTTACTGATCTACTTGTTGGGTCCTTTTTAATGTGTGGACTGAAATGTTTACTGTGACCTAAGTTATCTTCTCATTCTCGCTGATCTTTTATTTTATCCATCTTACTAATACGGACTTAATGGAACACAACGTTTGATTTCCAATGTAGCAGGCACAGTTAGATAATTAATACAGAGTAGATGCAGCATTAATAATTTAAAATATATATATGTTTTGAGCATAAAATCAGTTGGCTGTTAAACATCAAACACAGCTGATTTTAGTTGTTATCATCAGCAGTTTATGCCAAACAGGGTGGCCCGGCATCCCAGCAGAAGTTGGTGGTGAAAGAAGACAGGAAATGTAGAAAACTGTACTCCACCCTCACCAAAGTTTGCAGTTTGTCGTCACTGGAATTTCGCTGCTTCCTGTCCTCATCCCAGATAGTGTGTTGCAGATAAAGTAGCAGCATTCCAGGAAAAACAGATTTATTAGATTTGTGATCAGGGTAGTGGTTTCAGCGTAGCGTCAAAGGTCGTGTTTCCAAATTAACGTCTTGTCCATGACGTCGTGCACTGACGAAGAAGTAATTAAGCTAGGAAGGGAAACTGTGTGGAGCTCTCTCCGAACTAAAGACACACAACATGTTACGTGTTCTCTTCCTTTCAGTTTTTGTCATTCACAGAGGTTGCGATGGAAGTAATATGAAAAGACAGGACAACCGGGACAAAAGATAAAAACAAATATAAGGGAACTTCTTAAACAAATTGTACTTCGAATGAACAAAACGAGTGGCGTGTATCCTGAAATGCTCGCCACCTTTTTGACACTGTTTTGTTCTAGCTTGTATTTACCACTGAAAGACTGCTAAAAGCTCATGAGTCTAATTAAACTACGTGTTCTTTTCTTTGTTCCATTACCCTTGCTTTTACTACAACTGTGTTTTTTGTTCTCATTTGGTTTCTATAAATGGGTGAGGCTTAGCTATTTTTCTAATAAGCCCCTAATATAATTATGCATCAAGTATAATAGGTCTTTTATTTGTGGTTGTGCAGCAAAACACAATAAAGCTCTTCTTTTTATGGCGATAGTGAGAGATATTCTCTTTGCCTTCTTGCAATTAATTAGATCCCAGTAGTAGATTATCTTCCTCCTATACAGTCTTCAGGTGACATTAACCTAGAATGAACTGAGCCCTAAGTTTGTTTGTTTATTCAGTCAGTCCTAGAGGCAGACTGATCCTTCAGTCTACCAAATTTAATTGGCTGATCAGTTTTATATATATTTTTTTCTTTAATGAGAAGGCTCTTCTTTATTTATTAGTATACACATTTTTAAGGGCTGATATTTTTATACACGTTTAAGTTAAGCAGTTATTGCTTTATGTAGTTAAATGAAAAATAATATATACAAATCTGTATTATTATTATTTTTATCCTTTTTGTTTCCCTGCCAGAAAACAGCAATTGGTGCACCCCTTGTAGCATACATCCTTTGTTTAGTCTAAAGCTCTTTTTGCTGTTGTTAAGTTGTCAGCCTGGTTGTGGTTTTGGAATCATGTATTCCAAAATACAAGTTTGACTGGTGATATCTCAGGTTTTTAAGGTGTGTTTTAGTATTGAAGAGGATGAGCAGCGCTGAAACATGTACAGACTTGTGTATTGTTTAACTTCTAAAATGGATTTGTTTCTAATAACTGAGATTTAGAAGATGTAATGACAGTCAGACAAAGATAAGGCTAATTAAATTGTAATTAGTCTTTTCATTTTAATGATACACCTTCTAGAGTTGTAGAACCTCAGGGGTATTTGTTTGTAGTGAAGTGGGAGATGTGACTTCCTACCGAGACACTAATTAGACTCTATTAGGACTCCCTGGTTGGTAACCGCTGAGTATTAAAAACATAAACACTCAAGGAGAGCTGAGGATTGAAAATGGATGATGTTTGAATCATAATCTCATTTTAGAAAGAGCTAATGTGTAGGACTGGTAGGACATGGTGATTCAATAGGGTTTTCAAAACAATGCAGCTCGATTTGATTCATTTTCAATATTGATACACATCATTTTATAGTCATCGCTCAATGGACTATTTCGCGGATACCGTTTAGCGCCGCCGACTGGAAGAGTCGCACAATGGTTTGTGGGATTTTTTGGGGGCAAAAAAAAAAAAAAAGAAAAGAAAAGTAAATGATGGAACAGGTTATAAATGTCTAAAGTTGTGATTTTTGTGTGTGTTAAAATGTTTATTTTGATTCATGAGGTACCAACTTCTAATCAGAAAAAGGACAAACTTGTCCAGATCCTTTACCTGCTCAAATGTTGGGATTATTGCCTAAAATAGCAGACTGGACATGCAAAATAGAGGCAAGGATACTGTTGTGCACTAATATAATGTAATAATTACTATAGTATGGCATTTTATTAAATCTAGTTTTGCAAGAGAAAGTCCCAGTATACAGTGATCATATTAACAATGCTGAGCCGTGGGGCTGGATGATAAACATTTAATCTAAATATAATCTTAAGGCAGGCTGACCTATGATTTATTAAATGTTCAGTATGCAACATCCTTCTTGGCCACACATCAAATTTGGCTTAAATATTAATTCAAATATGAGTTTTTGTTTTAACGGTGGTAAATACATTTGTTTTTGTGATATGTAGCTTTCTGTATAGTGTATGTTATTGTTATTAAATAAACCATATAGCAATGTGGTCAAGTTTTAACATAGTCCATACCTATATTTGTAATATTAAGTGATTAAAATGGTCTGTAGTCAGGAAATATGATACGTAGCCCAGATCGATGTAAACTACGTCAACATATTTAGCGCAAGATCTACTAGACCGAGTAGCGACAATCTTGTGTTTTCATTATTCTTTATATTTAAACTTATTTTCTTGTATCGTGATCATTATTGCACATATACACAAGTATAACACTGCACAGCGATCTCCACGACCCATTTTCACAATCATTTAATTCACACACCAGCACCGGATGCACCCAAACTAGACCATGATGCTTTGCGTTAGGCAAAGATAGCGGTATCCGCGAAATAGTCCATGCCACTAACTCAACAAAACCAGCAAAATATTATAAAATTATTTTATATATTTATAATTATAAAAAAATGTGTCAAAACATTTGCTTTTAAGGACAGAGGTGTTTCCTGAATACTGCAGGTCATTTCGCTTTGATCTCACTTGCAACTTGCTAGTCCTCCCTCTGAACAGGAACCACAGTGTTATACTGCCCCCTAAGGATTGGAGGGGGGTGGGAGGTATCAATATTAAAAAAATATAAAAAATAATTCATTGATATTTGGATTTGTATACACAGCCCGACTAATGTCAAACACTCTTGTTCAGAGCTATGGGTTGAATGAGTTCAAGTAAGGGAGAACCAACAGACAGGAACACTCTGTTCTCTTTCACTTCCTCCCAAGTGGGGTTCACTTGAAGCATAGGGTTTCCTGTATTTGTATGTGTGCAATGTCTTATGATGGTTAAAAAAAGTTAGTGTCAGAGGAATAGAAGTAATGAAAAAGTAAACAATAATCTAAAAGCTGTATTTGAGAAATCAAAATATGATGGAGGCGATATGAGTAATTATGTCCTCTTTGTAAAGAATGATTGATCTTTATGATAAAAGGGGCAGTAAATGTTTTCTTGAGGGTAAGATCATTGAGCATCAAGCTTTACTAACATAAAATCAAATCTTCAGCTCTCTCAGTAGATAAATGGAAAAAGTGACTCAAGAAGAACAGAAAAGTATTGCTATGCCAGAGAAAAATTTAGGGAGGAAGGAAGTTTGAGATAAGGAAGTAGGGAGTATTTGGACCAAAGTTGAGTACCCTTTAGTAACCTCTGCTGACTATAAAAGTTGCTGAGAAGTGAGAACTGTGTGTATTTGTGTGTTCTTGTGCACAGCTGAGTGGAGCCAGTGAAATCGTTTGACTTCTTTGGAATGTAGCAAAAGTACAAAGAGCTTTCAGAGTTCAGAGAAAATGGATTGTGTCTGGAAACAGTATGTGAATTTTTGATGTGACTCAGAATCGGTCAACATCGCCCACCTGTTGTGATGTGCATGTGTTCCTTTATGCTTCTGTAATATCGATATATCTCATGGACCACTGGTAAGAGTTTATTGAAACTCTCAAAATGCACATCTACGACTGATTGAACCCAATGTAGCATGATGGTCGCCACAATTTATTGACCTTAGAAAACATAAAAATGCCTTTAACTAAGTCAGATCTACTGACTTGGGGCCAAAGTTTGGTGTGAAATAATGAGTTATCCCTCAACATCTGTGAGATCTTTGGCGTCCATCGAGGAATGTTTGGTTTTATTTAATTCAATGAAACTCAAGTTTGAGTTATTAATTACTGATGTATGACCTGGGATATGGGACAGGCTGGAATAGGATTGGGTGGTATTGATCCTTTTCATTTCGTGATATAACTTTTACAAAATAATGTGGTATACTGTATTACAGAGGGGGAGGTATGGTCTGGTGTATTGATTAATTAATACTTAATGGAGAACCAGCTGCTTGTAAGAATTTACATGTGTATTGCAAGAGAGAGGCAGAGAAAAAAACTCAGCAGTCACAGAATGGCTATTGCTCATTATTATGTCAAACAGATTAAAAATACATTCAAGTGTGTCTTTTTAGGGTTTTAAGGTTCAAAATATTCTGCCTCTTGCCACGGTTGTATCTGTGCTGCTGCATACTTTTAGCTGGTCATAGTGCCAATAAAAATTGAAGTTATCTCCTCCTCTGCAGCAAGCTCACAGGTCTCATAAAAAATAAAAAAAATCACAGGTTTAAACCCAAAAGAATTCCAGCTATTTAAGAAACCTGCAGCAGGGTGGTCCAGAAGCTGTCAGTCAGCACTACACTGGACCACCTTTTCAGGAATTGGCGACTATGGCAAGTTTCTGTCACTACCTCGCTCTGAGTTTGTGTTTTGTACTTTTAATTTTACCTCGCTCGGAGGTTAAGAGGCCCCATTCTCTTCCGTTTGTCTTCTAAATGAGCTGAGGTGGTCAGAACATGCGTCAGTAACGTTATGGGGTGTCTTCTTAAAGAGTCTACATTGTTTATGTCCCAGTTTTCATAGCAGCCTTGTGGAAATTTGGGGCTTCACCTCATATGACTATAATTTTAAATATCATCACCATATTTTAACACTGCACTACAACGAAATACTGTCATACCGTCCAAGCCTAGCCCCGAATTATTTGAGACAGATGAGACGTTTGTCCAGTTTATGTCAAAGCAGGTGCACATTAGCCACATATTGTCATTTTAAGACTTCAGTGTCTTACAAATTTCTGACTAAAACAGTTTCTGTTTGTTTTCCAGGTTTTAAGCTGAAGGACTTTTTGAAAGACAATGAAACTCTTTCTGAATTTCTTCACCACAATGCATCTCTTCCTCACCATGCACTGAGGCAAATCCTAGAGGCTGAAGTCAACTTGGAGAAGGTAAGATCTAAGCAATTATATATATTTTTTGTGTGTGTTATCACTTATGTCATAACTTGACTCCCCTGTCCAAAACGCTCATGCATTAATATAATGACCTTGGCTTCAGTCAGCTGGACCACAGGATTCAGCTGCAGTACAGCTAAGCTTTTAATACCCAAGGAAAAAAAATCACAGTGAGTGGGTGGGGGTGGATGGGTGTACTATTGGGCAACAACCCATTTCTCATCTGGTTTAATGTATTTTTGTTTGGGGGATTGATACAAGTTTTCTGTTTTTCTTTCCTTTTGACAGCTCCCATTTTATCTCTTTATTAGATTCAGTGTTACCCCAAGAGTGTTGGCTGTGGGTGGGGGGGCTTTTGAACACAGAATAATAATCAACAGCAGAAACATTACTAGTGTTTATTAAAAGAGTGTGCACGCTTTTTTTAAATAATAATTACAGAACATGAAAAACTCTGGGTGGGTGATGGTGGGCTGCCCTCCTTTTATGGGAAATGCATCCATGCATTCCACATTTAATTTCCCTTAGCGTAAAAAATTATCTGTTTCTTAAAAAATCCCTACACGCTACTTCCTAAACATACGACAAAGACACACAACCTGTTTTGTCCCAGTCAAAAGAGTTCTATTGAAACAACTCACACTGCCTACGTGAAATGATTTGGCTTTCCTGTTCCACATCAGCAGCAGCTTCCAACCCCAGATCGTCACGTCATCCCTGCTTTGATGTCTAGTCATGTGACATAGCCTCTACACCCCGCCCCCACGATTCCCCTCACGTGCAGGGACAGACAAAAACACATCACAGCATCTGACTCACTCCCTTCTCCCAGGTATCGATTGATTGCAGAGGATCCTCCTCCAAACCCTTGACAGCAGAGATGTGAAAATTACCATCCAATCGTGGATGTAGTTGTTGTTGTAAAAAAATACACGAACCAAAGCAACGTGGCTTTGTGTTGTGGCAAACTCAAAATAAAGCGCAAACAGATAGACGTTAAATTAGAAAACCTCTGAAAGAGAAATGCGTTTGAAATTTCCATCTGATGATTAGTGCGATTCTCAATCCTCCGAGGCGAGAGTAAGCCCTGATGTTTTTCCAGTGAAAGGATTAGCAGCTGTGAGTGTGTGTGTTTGTGTGTGTGTTTGTGTGCATTATGTTTTCTAATAGACTTGATGGCATTACATAGAGCGGTCAAGGACATTTGGAAACGAGTGAGTGAGAGCCTCTTTCTGGTAAACAGCAGCATCTTGACTCTCTCTCAGAAAAAAACGAGCATCTGTCCCGTCAGTCCTTGGATGCTCTCACTCACGTTTCTGCAAACATCTTGTTCTTTAGGTGCAGCTACGAACCTTGTTTCCAGTATTACATCTTTTTTTTTGAATAAGTGAGATAGTTATTCATAAAAAGCTGTTATTTATTACAGATTTCGAAGAAGCTGAACATTGTCAAACCCTTTTTTTTTAAAACATGTATTGACATTTCTTACCTCATTGTTGATTTCTGTTATCGTTACATTTTTCTGATCTCAGTTAAGCTATTTTTGGTTTTGGTCTGAAATATAATAATCTTTAGTCAGTCGAAAACACATTTTAAGGGTACTTTCTATTGTGCTTTTATGACATACCACTGGTTTATTTAATCATACTGTAAATCTGTACCTGAAAAGTAAACTATGGCGTCTTTTCATAGTTTAGACACATATTGTTCTCCAAGTAAAACTTCATGACTTTTTTAATCGAAACAACACAAGAACAAATGGAATGCTTTTGTCCTTGTGTACTTTTCACTGAATCTTTTTTATTTTTTATTTTTTTATGTAGGTGCTCACTAAAGGTTTCGGATTTCATCTCAAAGACCTTTGCAACGTGACACCTCTGGAAGAGTTTGTCCACATCGCTGACCGTAATGTGTCCCGTTTAACCCAAGAAATCATTTGCAAGTCATCCATCGATTGGCTAAACGAAGCTCAAAACCACTTTCTCTCCAACTTGGATTTTCTAAAACCGATTCAGGTGAGTTTAATAAGTTTTAGTTTTACAAACTCTCTGTTATATTTTATTGTTTTTTAAAGGGATCCCTGGTTAGTTGTAACATTAGACTTTATTTGATAAACATATATATTTAACTGTAAAATAAAGACTGTAAAAATATTGTAGGCTGTTTAAAAATATATTTTAACACGGACGGAGCCATTTTATTTACACACAAAGCATTCTGGGTAAATGATGACATGGATAGGTCCTCAGTGTGAGCGAGCTATATCCACCATGAAGGTTAATCTTGGACAATATCTGATGATCAACTCTTTTAAATGAAACCAGAGAGCGTTGACAGAGAGGAGAAGGTAGAAATGACTCAGCCTGGAACTGAAAATATGGATGGAGGACAACAGAGCTGCTTCATGGAAGAAGAACCTCAGCTTAGCCCGTTAGCCTTTGCGCTAGCACCGACGCTATATTACCTTATATGTATTAGTTCGGCGCTAGCGCGACAAACTATACTGTTGTCCTCCATCCATATTTTCAGTTCCAGGCTGAGTCATTTCTACCTTCTCCTCTCTGTCAACGCTCTCTGGTTTCATTTAAAAGAGTCGATCATCAGATATTGTCCAAGATTAACCTTCAGGGTGGATGTAGCTCGCTAGCAGCCTCGCACCGAGGACCTATCCACGTCATCATTTACCCAGAATGCTTTGCGTGTAAATAAAACGGCCCCGTCTGTGTAATATATTTTTTAACTTTTAGTTTAAAAATGATAAAAACTGAACATCCTAGAGTATTTTTAGTCGTTATTTTACCATTAAAATATGTTTATTAAATAAAGTCTAATGTTACAACTAATCATGGATCCCTTTCATAATATACAAACTATCACTTATTATTACTTATGATATTTGCAGTATGTGATGAAAGACAATGAAATCCATTTTTGACTTTTCGTCTCTGCACATTGCCTTTTGTTGTTGCTGGTTTTCTTTGAGTGTGTTTCCTTATCCACTTTTCTCCTTACTATAATTAGTAATGTCCTTCCCGTGCGTGCATGCTCCCAGACAGCCTGCCCCTTCCCATAAACCTTTGACCTAAATATGAGCCAGGATACAGAAAGATAGCAAGAGGCAAACAAGACATTCTGATATACTGAACTACTGGATAGAGTGATAGAAAATGACTATTTCTCTTAAGAAGACAGAGATTCTAAACAAGCTTTTGAACAGTTTATATTTATTCTGTATCTTTCACCACATCATAGAAAAGAACATGGTGTCTTTTTCTCTAGTTTTACTCAGTTGAGTAAAACTAGAGAGAGTTCTGCCTCTTCTGAGGATTCCACCAAAATACACATTGTTCCTAAAATGAGTCCAAATTTTGCAAAAACATAATGCAACAGTAGATTTTTTTTTCCTATCATTTACAAAATATCATAAATCACGAGGACAGGAACTGTTACTTAACTCTCATCTTTATCCTGCATGTGGAACAGAGGAAGGGTGATACATTACTAGGAAGAAAAAGTGAGCATAGAAGAGTAGGAGATAAAACTCATTAAAGTCTCCTCCTTATTTCCCAGAGGGCCGTTTGCTTTTCAGTGACACCTGTGCTTTATCAGGTGTCAGGCATCCTGACAGCTGACAGCTTTAGTGTGATAGAAAAGAAAATACACACAAACACACCAGGGTACTACAGTGTGACACAGAAGCATACGAGGTCAAAACTTCATGGGCTTGTTGTTCTTTCTTGACTAACCTCTTAGCCCCTTCACAGTGTATTTTCTGTTTTTTTTGTTTGTTTTTTTTTTGCTTCCAGGGGCGGAGCTAGACTTTTTAGCAAGGGGTGGCCGAGGTGCTCTTTAGAGGGGAACATACTAATAAAGAAAAGCACTCTGAACTGAAAATTCAAGATGGCTGACACAGCTAATTACAAATGGCTTTAATTTAGGTGTTTTAAGAAACACTGAACTGAACTGTTTGATTATAGCTAAGAACGACCAAAACAGCATGCTGAATGCAAGTCACAATTTACTATCCAGCCATTTTTAGACATAGACTCCTGAAGATTAGTGTAGAAGTAGCCGAACACAAGTTATACCAAATTCTTAAACGCTAATCAAAAATTCACGGTGGCCCACTAAGCTAACTTTAAAAGACAATCAATCTGTCATTTTAAGATTTACTGAAATGAAAATTTTTATGGAGTGAATGTGATCACAAGAATGATCACATGCAGATTGCTGATGTTAATCCCAAATAAAGCTTACCACTAATGCTAATGCAAATTTTACAAAGGGGCTGTAATTTAGCCACTTTTAAAGCTACATAGCTGAAAATGTACATAGTACAGTAGTAGCAGAGAACAATCTTTAACAAAATCTAAATGTAAATACAAAATCCAAATTCTCCACCCGCTTGTCAGTTAATTGGGGATGGCCAATCAGGTGCCAGAGGTGGCACTTGCCACCCTGGCCACCCCTCTGGCTCCACCCCTTTTTGCTTCACTTTACCTCTTTCTTTCTTTCTTTCTTTCTTTCTTTCTTTCTTTCTTTCTTTCTTTCTTTCTTTCTTTCTTTCTTTC